GTACACAGTTTACACAGCTAAACCACAAATCTGGCAAATCCTAAGCTTCCGTAATGTATTCTGGATGATACCACTCCTACTCAGGACACTGATCTTGTAAACTCACACTACATGTAGATTGTATCTTTTCTGTGACCAGTCTTCTTGTGGCAAGTGCAGTAACTAGGGGTGAGTAGTTTCATGCTTTTGAGAGCTTTATCAGTTGTCATCTTGCTCTTTGGCGATTTACCGTACCATAGTACAACCAACCCTACTTCATATTTGAGAATCTTATTTTGATCTCCCCTGGATTATATGAGTTTAGACAACCATCATCCTTTGCGGCATCACTGATGCCTCCCAGCAGTTCATCATCCCTTAACTCAATTTCTTCTTGTTGGCCGCAGGCAATGGCCACTCATTCAGTTGGAATGTCCAGCTAAATGAACTCCAAATCTTGGGCCAGAATTCTCAAGCCATTTTCTTCTGTGTCGATGTTTTATCTGAGGAAGGAAAATCTACAGGTGTGTCACTTGCTTTACTAAGATGCCAATCTTTCATGACTGTCGCCAACAGCTTGCCATCTGCGTGTATTGTATACTCTACCAGGTCTTTTGCATGATTGAAATTTCCCATCAACATTTTTGTTACTGTCCCTGTGGCTAAAATCCTGCAGAACGTGAAACATTGTACCCCTCTCTGCCGTATCGTCAACTTCAAAGAAACGGTTCATCATATCTTGAAGAGGGCCCCACTTGTAGACTTTGCGAGGGTTCAGTATAAATCCTTCAAATCTGTCTTGAGGGTGCCGTGCACTAATTCAAGATCTGCTGAGCTCATGGCCATAAAAAGTGCCCCGACAGTTTTTGAAAAGGAGATTGTTTTGCCACAACAAAAATGGAAGGATTGTAGAAATGTAGGCCAGGATCAACACCCAGGGTTTGGGGGCTTCCATCCAGGGGTAGAGTTAAATTAAGGATTGAAAACTGTCTTCAGTGCCCGAGAAAATAGAGGAAATCCCTTTTTAAAAGATCGCTGTGACTATATACATGTAGAACTATTGCTTTTCAGGGGTGTGTGAATCATGGACGTTGTAATTGGTTACCGACCCAAAGTTGAAAAAAAAGTGAAAATACTGCAGACAAAAAGTGAATTAGTTGTTCCAGGAACACCAGTTCATGATAGTTTGCATGTTATTGAGCCTTAATCTTTACGGGCTTGGATGAATTCATTTCACCTTTTGTTAAATTGATACTGTTTCCAGTAGAGCTTGCATGTAGATTAGTGCTCTTCACCCTTGAGGCATCTCTCCAGCAGCCCTTGACCTTTTGTTATCTGTCATTTGTTCAACAGAGAGACACCATCCCCAAAGCCAACTACAGCATGCATGTCATCACCATCCTTTGATTGAGACAAACCTGTAGCTGCAGATTTTTTTTTGATGTGTCTTGTACCAGCTGTCCTCATTGGATCCTCTTCCACAAGTCCAAGGTTGCCAATCTCTTCTCTTGTTTGCTCTTGATTTTTTTTTTCGAAGTATATGTGAAGTGGGTGGGTCAACCAGCATTTTACGGTACACTCTTCAGAAAAGGTAGGCGGCACTTCAAAATATATTCTAAGGTGTAACACAGCAATATCCACCTTTCAACTCAGCGTCAGCAAGTCAAATTTACCAGGATACAGTCAGACATTGATTTCATTAGTTATCACACAAGCACAAGTGGAACACGGAATAATGCAGTACGTCTGTATCCAGTATGTGGAACTCAGACTACATTATTCCTTGTTCCATGAGCGCAAGCATGATAATAAGTTTATCTTGAAGCAAACTTGACGCACAGTAAAGAAAGTAAAGGGGCCTAGGCGCGCTTTACATAAAAAAGCAGACAAAAGATATCACACGGCACACAGCAAAAATAGTAACACCGATGTACCACAATTCTGCAATTTTATCCATGGAGTGTGGGAATTATTTGTGTTTTAACTAATTTTAATAACAATAATGACAGGGCTTACACCAAGAAAGAAAATTGTTAGAATTGCACGTGCTATTAAACGTGACGATCAGCACGGGGCAAACACACCACTTTTGAATTTACTAGTAATGCAGATGTGCATTTACTTTTGGTGTAAATATAGCACAATACATTGAGATAGAACAGCTCATTATGCAGTGTTTGATTAAACTGTGCTATACAGTTGTATATCACACTGTTGCGATGGATCGACCAATCAGGACTGAGAATTCAAGTTTGCCTGATGAAGGTTAATTACATTATCCTGCTTTATAGCAAGATAAATTGTAGGTTTCCTTACATCTTTTCTTTCTTTATTTTCAAACAATATGAGGTCCCTGTTACAATAAGGTAATCTGTAAAGTCCCAATAGCCTTGTTTCTTGTCTCTGCCGCTGGTTACATCGTGAGCGGACCTACATGTACATCATGAATAATTGCTGTACCACAAACTGCGGGTATTGTGTGTATGAACTCTGGACAGAACGTCATTCTGTGGTTCACCAAATAATTTATACACATCACTACGCGATGCACTCAATGATACAAGGGCATTCAATTGTACCTTGAGCCTCGATAATACCGGTTCAGGTTTATGATTGGAGGGAATTCTCTTCTGTGCTGGAAAGGTTGATTACCCACAACTTGAATTTCTTATTACGTTCACAGCACTGATGCCATGACTAGCGTGACATGATTGAGTATCCTTGCTCATCAACCTCTGTGCCTGTAGTACTAGCGAATATCCAGATGCTCAGGCGTGGCAGGGCACCTGTTGGAATCACAAAGCATTGTACAGTAGCACACAGCAAGGTGGAGGGGTGAGATTTTTCAGAATTTTCCTGATTTCTGGATTTTTTTTAATGGTCTGTCTCAAACTCTACAAAATCCTGAGTTTAGCACTAGGGTTTATTTACATATACATGTAAAAGTTGATATATGGGCAGTTCCACGGTGTTGGACGTACATTTTGGACACTTCAACAGTGTGTGTTATTATACTTATAATCCTGAAGCAGATTTTGATTTTGATAAACGACATCAGCTAGTTGGTACATTCATTTAATAGCAAAATTTCCCACTCAGAATTATTATCCTTGTAGAAACTGACTCATAACATGGTATCGATGTACTCAGAGAAAGTTAATTTTTTGAGTTTTTATTTTTGTATCACAAACTCTGTGAATTGCTACATGTAGGACCTCAAGAAGTAGTTTTCCTGTGTTTAGTTTTAGCAGACCCTTGTTAATAAACTTCAAGCAAGATACATTTTTATCTTGTTGTGACTTTCAGATAAAGCATTTATTATATTGGTGTCGGACGTACATTTTTGGTGTCGGACGTACACGTCCAAACTGACTTGTCAGAATAGAAGGTAATCAGTTCAAACCCAAGCTTGCCTCATTTTTTTACCTTCATGAGGCTTTAGTAAACTTTCCAAACCAAAAGAAAATGCCATGCCATGCAAAAATAATCAAAAGCAACTAGAAAGGAATTGGATGATGGTGCATTCAATGAAACATTATGAAGGAAAATATTGTCTATTTATGCAAATTTTGCTCATTTAAACAAGTCATGTACTGTCCAACATTCAATCTGAAAAATATTTTCTACAGTTGACAATACTTTAGAGAAATAAATCAAATTAAAAGAAATTGTTTTTAAGTTCTGTAAAGCACTTTTCTCCTAAGAACGGGCTTAGTTTCATGGCACTGCTTAGCAGCAAGCAAGTTGTGCTGACAGTTGTAACTGAAAAGTTGAACTACATGTAAGTTGAACAAATTTTTTGTCGGAGGAACCGGAAGTGTGTCCTTTGCTATGTTTACTGCTCACAGTCTTCATTAAATAAGCGGAGCCTTTTTCAGCATAAAATCATGTGGCAAGCAGGCTAGGAAATCGTGCCTTTATCAAGAGAAAAACGGGGATTTCAGAGATTATCTGTGAACTGTCTTGTATTTTATTTATTTATTTATTTATTTATTTATTTGAGCTATTAACTTGTCCGATTTCACACTCTCAGACATAAGTCTAGAGGCATTGTGTGTGGGGGGGTTGACATTTTATTCCATTGTTCATTAGAAAATGTACATTGTACAGAATGCACATCTAAAGTTTCAAACAGGTATCTGACTTATGCGCACCTGTACGCAATAAGACTTTGTCAGGTTTGCATTCACGGTTGTATAATACATGCAGCAAAACTGAAAAGGTTGTAGTTTCTCATGTTTTGACCCAACCTGAACTTTTCATGTTTCTCGTGTTGGACATCCATGGAAACGCCCATACGTGAGAGACAATGCACAGGAAAAGATGACGTCAGCAAAAGTCCACACTTTCTTCATGTTCACGTTCATGTAAGACATGAACCGAAACGTCTTTATTGATCTGTGTGATTGCTTGATTGTGCTTCATTATCATTTGATCAATCCTTTACAGAATCTTGTGATCCTTCCAAGCTATCACTAGTCAAAAGTTGTAGCGACAGTATAGTTTTTGGAAATCAAGGTTGTGGAAGATCGTTTCAAAAAGAAATTATGCTTGAATTTCCTACAGATGAGACTTCCTCCATCCATCCTATCCACCAATAACATTTAGCTTTCAGCCATGTACAGGTACATGTAACACATTAGATTAAGAATTTTGGTGACAATTAATATTTTGCTCTTGGTGAATTCTCAAACCCCTTGACCATCGGCAGCCATATTCCCCATTGGGGCCTGCATTCACTTACATCCATTGCCTTTTTACTTATTCCCGGTTCCAGTGTGTGCACCTTAATGGTGCTACTGCTCTTCACATTGTTAACATTGATGACTCCACTGATCTACAATAGCCATGATCTCAAGACCATTTTATAACCATAGGCATCTACCATAAACTGAAAGAACTACATGTAGGTATCTGTGCTGTGAAACCCACACGATGGGGCCACAGATCATGGGCCAAACAACAGAAAGGCTAATTCCTGTCTTAGTACCATCATTTTCTAAGCAAGAAAGTAAACAGCACTCGGAACAGTATGGTTCTAATCCTACCAACCTTGTGCATATTTCATCTGACACAACGCTTTCATCTGACTGTAATTTTGCTCTTTGGAATGCCCGGTCAGTGAAACGTAAGACTGCTATGATTTATGATATGATAGCACACAACAGCATTGATATCTGTGCTATTACAGAAACCTAGTTGAGTGGTGATCATCGTGATCACCATACTCTAGCTGATCTTAAGAACACCTTACCTGACTTTCAATTTTTTCACATCCCTCGCATGAACAGGGCTGGAGGAGGGGTTCTTGTATGCCTAAAAACGGGTTCCATATTTGTCGGCATAAAGTAACAGTATATGATGCCTTTGAACACATCAACTTGTCCAGTAACTCACCTTCTAATGAACCTCTCCAACTTATAGTTGTATACAGACCCCAGAGATTGTTCAACCAAAAGCCAACAGCTACACTTTTTATGCAAGAATTTTCTACATTGCTGGAACATATTGTCTATGATGCCAATCATTTAATGATAGTAGGAGATTTCAACTTTCATATCGACAATCAATCTGATAGAGAGGCGTCTACATTTCATGACCTCCTTGAATCTACAGGTCTAAAACAGTACATGTCTGGTCCAACACATCATGATGGTCACACATTGGATCTTCTTTTAACAAGGTCTTTTGACGGTTTTTATCTCCCAGCTGACCACAAGTGGTTATCTGCCATCTGATCAGGCTTGTGTCATCTGTAAGTAAGGCATTGGTCACCACGCTGCAGCCAAGGTGGACGTCCAGACGCACAAACTCCATGACATTGACTTAGATACATTGTACATTTCATCAGGACATCTTGAATTCTCCAATGTGCACATCCTCTTCCACGGATCTTGACACATTGGTTACTCAGTACGGGCAAACTCTCAGCGATTTGCTTAATAAGCACGTACCCCTACAAAAACTTCAAATCACAGCCCATCCTCATGCGCCCTGGTTTAGCAATGACATATTCATTTGGCCAAGCGTGAGCTGCGTCGTCATGAGCGACGTTGGAAATCTTCGAAGTTGGAGGTTCACAGGCAGATTTTCAAAGAGCAGTGTTGTCGCTATAACCAACTGATATCTGCTACAAAATCTAACTGTCATAGGAGCCAATTGAAAAACTACAACTCAAATTGTCTGTTTCAAATTATCAATACAATGAGTACACCGACGTCATCATCGCAAACTCTCCCCTCCGACATAATGTCTGAACTGTTACCTGGTAATTTTGCAAACTTTTTCTCAGACAAAATAGAAGTCCTGAGAAATGAACTTGACAACTCAGATACAGATTGTGCTCCTGTCCATGATCCTGGTCCCAGTGCATCATTTTGCCAATTCAGCGCGTTGTCTGAGAATATAGTGAGACAACTCATTATGAACTCGAAATCCAAATCATGCAATCTCGATACTGTACCTATCTGGTTGCTGAAGCATTGTTTGGATGAGCTCATTTCAACCATAACCAACATTATCAATTTGAGTTTCCAAAATGGCTGATTTCCCAAAGCATTAAAGTTTGCCAACGTCATACCACTTATCAAGAAACAGAATCTAGATCCTGACAATCTGAGGATTTACCAACCAATTGCCAATCTATCTTTCCTCGGGAAAACCATACAGCGTGCTGCGGCTTCACAAATACAATGCTACCTTGCTACTAACAATCTTACAGGTAAAATGCAGTCAGCCTACCGTAAATACCGTAGTGTGGAAACAGCTCTTCTATGTGTTTACAATGATTTGCACTCGCTGCTGACAAGGGTCAAGAGGCTGTTCTTGTGCTTCTTGATTATTTGGCAGCTTTTGATACGATTGATCACCATATCATGCTACAACGCTTACATCATCGCTTTGGCATCAACGGTTCTGCCTTGGAAGGGTTCATTTGATATTTTGCAAATTGTCAACAATCTGTACTCGTCAATAAGATTTCATCTCCCCCTCATAATGTCAACACTGGCATGCCTCAGGGGTCTGTCCTTGGTCCACTATGCTTCACGCTGTACACATCCCCACTAGAAGAACTCATTACATCATATGGCGTTAACTGCATGATCTACTTCACCATGACAGAACAGCTTCCTGATGCCATTCAGTGATTGGCATCATGCCTCACACACATACATTCTTGGTCCACGGCCAATAAAAGCTGAAATTGAATAGCGACAAAACTGTAGTCATCCACATCAACTCTCAGTTTCAGCAACATACTCCAATTGAAAATATCTGCATTTCTTACTTCTGCACCAGACCTGTTACTTGCGCTTGTGACCTTGGAACCATTGTAACGTCAAACCTTCAAATGCAAAACCAGGTCATTAAACATATGTCACTCTTCTTATTTAGCTCCTTTACAAGATTGGACAAATTTGAAAATTTCTTGATCAACAAATGATGGAAGAGCTTGTTCATGCTTTCATCCTTTGCCGCCTTGATTTCTGCAATAGTCTATTACACCGTATTCCTGATTCTCAAACTTCGAAACATCAGCACATTCAGAATTCAGCTGCCAGACTTGTTACACGTTCATCATCTAGGCAACATTTAACTGCTATGCTTCGTACTCTTCACTGGCTACTAGTCAATGAGCGAATTGCTTTCAAAATTCTACTCCTCACTCGCAAGCACATCCATGGCTCAGCACCAGCATACCTTCGTGAACGTATTCAAGTATACCAGCCACGACGCACCCTCTGTTCTAGCTCAACATTGCTGCTCGATACACCGATCACTTGCACTAAGACTTATGGACATCGTTCCTTCGTGCATGCATCACCATCGCTTTGGAACTCTCTTCCTCACTGTATTCAAATTATCAATAGCGAAAATGAATTTAAAGCAGTGCTCAAAATTTGCTTGTTCCATTAATTGTTCTTAATTGTCGTTTCTTGTAAAGTGCATCGAGACCTTGGTGTGGTGCGCTATATAAAAACTGTGTTATTATTACTATTATTATTATGGACACGTATCTGGATTCTTAAACTGGTTGTCCAAGTTTCCAAGTTTGTTTTGAAGAATAACAAACATCGGCAAGTTTGCACAGTTTGAGCTCATCTGATTCAAATCCAAAAGGGACCGACATTTTAAACAAGCAACCAAAGCACAAGGTTGGCTGATGTCACTCTTTCTCTGGTTAAGTTGGAGTTAATTGTTGTAAGAAGTATTTTACCCAGTTGTGTTACATCTTTCTTTTTCTTTTTCCTTACCAGAATTTGCTTTAAGTCTTCTATTATAAGTTTCTTTCACCAGCAAACCATCACAAGAATGACTGTCCAGATGTTGTGACTTGTATGTTGCTGTAAGTATCGAATTTCAATGTCATGAAGAGTAGTGGTGAAAGGTCTTGCTCATGGACACAAGCTCAAACTAGCAGGTTAACTTGAGCCTCTAAAACGACCCAGGCCTGAGTGTCAAATCCTAGCTCTAGTCTCAACAACATGAAACATTAGGTAAATTTGAGCCTCCAAATAACTGAGCTTGACTGATCAGTCCTAGTTTTAGTCTCAGCAGCATGAACCAGCAGGTGGACCTCAGCCTCTATCCATCCAGGCCTGAGTGACCAATTCTAGCTGTAGTCTGAGCAACATGAACCAGTAGATGAACTTGAGCCTTTAACCATCCAGGCTTGAGTGACCAATCCTTGCTCTAGTCTCAGCAGCATGAACCAGAAAGTTGACTTGAATCTCTAACCATCAAGGCTTGAGTGACCAATCCTAGCCTCTGGCAGTTTCATGGAGAGTTCAAGAGATCAGAGTTGTTCAGAGTTTAACTTTAAAAGCACACCCAATGAATTTGGAACTACATGTATGAGCTAAAATGTCTTGTGTTTCTTCAGTAATTTGCGAACATCATGAACACGATGGCTTGAAATTGAGAAAGATTTAACAAATTTGATTATTCTTTTATTCCTTTCAGTGCTGATTTTACTGTGGTCTGCTTTCATGGAGATGTCATCGACTGGCTGAAGGAGCATAGGTGATCAACAATTTTATATGCAAACCCTACAGTACAGGTCAGAATTTTAGCCGACACGCTATCACGATCAGTGAACCTGACACGCTGTTCAATACATCCTTTGCAGTTTTCACTGTGCATTGCTGGGCCAATGAACGATAAGCGTGACCCCGGACCTCATTATCTTGGCAGGGCTTGTGACCGCAGATTGCAAAGGTGACCGACAACGTGTAGTGAACCACTGCACACGCAGGGCCATCGCTCCAGCTTTGTGTATGCGTGTACAGTGTACACTGTATGGCATGGCAGTGCACTGAATAAATGAAATCATGTAGTGCAGTGCCTGGCTGGCAAGAAGGCCATCTTGAAGTATTAAAATATGTATCACTATCACAGCCATTTTCTTTTTGTCTTTGATCGCGAAAGTTGTTCAGTCGGATTACATCTGGAAAATGTCAAATTTCAGTGAAACTGGCCAGTAGTCCACCGTGTGTGTTTAGCTACTACAAAACTTTTTCCCAAATGTAAGCTTTGAAGTTTAAACTCACTGGATCGACTGGAGTGATAATGACACTTTTCTTGCTGGTTCTAATGCCAGACTGGTTTTAAGCGCAAGAACTTTTTCACAAATAAACAGTGACCACGAAAGAAATCCATTCCTCAGCCAGAATTATTATAACAAGCTGATTTTACAAAGAGTTTTTCTAATTTTGTGGAAATTTAGTTCGTGTGTCAGAATTCCAGTAAATTAAAAAAAACACCCACTGAACTTGCGTAAATTTTAACTTGACTTTTTCATTTGCTGCCACATGTGCCGCGACCATGCAATCACGAAACTACAACCACTCCAGTGCTTTCATCGCAACCACCAATCATAAATTGAAACAAATGTAATGCATATTCATTTTCATACTGCGCCGACAAATGCAAAGCTGCAGCCCTTACACGTCACACAACCTGCATATTTAAGAAGTTCACATGGGTGCTACATTGTCCGTCATGTGCAGCCAGTGCATTCATATATGTCACTAGCACTAGTGCAGACCCAACTTCCTTTCATTTTGTTACGATCTTTGCCATTCAGTTTGGTCCTAATATTGTCACAATCAGAGCGATTTTTTAAGGTAGGTTTTCCAACTCAAAGGTCGAAAACTGAAAGGAAAAGTCCCCACCTCCCATCGAATTTATATCCACGCAATTTTGAACACACTGAGCATGAGTGTGTATGCCAGGATCGCCGCTGTGGGGGCCGTCTTGACTATTGGCTAGCGGACCAGCGAGGTCAAACCCTGTTTATTTTTTGTGGATTTCTTCCAAAATAGTTTTCTCTAATTTAGGAAATACTTTGTCGTAAAAACTGCTAGTTATAGTTGTTTCGGTTGAAAAATTGATTTTACGCTCGAATATTTTCTGTGCCTGATTCAGAAGTTTTGGGAGAAAGTCAGACCTAAACCAAAAGTGTTGCCTGCATGTCACTTTCATTGATCTTGTATGGACAAGCAAAACGCTTTTTTCTTCGAAAATGATTTTGTGATGCCTGCTACATACAAGGTTAACTACTGACAACATTTCCCTGGAATTTGAAGATAACATACGTGAGCTGCAGTCAAACAGAATACTTCGTTGTGGGAAACTAGGAAAATGACTGCTGCGGTCAATGCAGGCCTGGCTGTTCTGGAGTTTGCGTGTAGCATGTGCATGTTTATACTTGGCAGATCGGATTGCAGTGTCGTCGTTCTCTGTTATGCAGGGGTCAACGTGTTTTGTGTTTGCAGTTGTGTCTGTTTGACTCGATACACGCTGACACACTAATCATGTTTGTGTGTCGGCTAAAATTCTGACCTGTACTGTACATGTATGTTTGATATTGTGAATAGTGATAATATCTTCCCATATGTTCAAGTTACAGATTATCATTTGTCTGATCCTTTGTGCATAATATTCCCTTGAGGCAACAAAATTGCTCAAAAATCTAAAGAAGGTTGTCTAAGGCATGAGGTCAAAATACAAATGCTTTTGAAAGCATTCAACACTTTGTAAATGCTAAGCCCCACCGACGGTCAACATGAACAGACTAACGTTTCAGCAAGGCTGGCCAAACTGTTCACGGTTGAGTGCAACACGCACTCTTTAGCTTCCAGTAAACAATTGACAGCTTATCGCATTACCCCATCATGGGCTTCTACTGTCTGGTGGATTCATTACAGGAGCTCTTTACTTTGCAGCTCTACAGGAGGATTTAGATCGGCAGACTGTTTTAACTTCCTGGTAAAGTACATGTATCGAGTAGTTTCGTTGCAAATAAAGTGTGAAATATCTGCGCTGTCGGATACTAGACCAATCTTTTCAGGTCTTGATACCCTGTAATCTTGATGTTTTGTTTCGGTATCGTGAGTCAAATGTACACCTAATTGTATACCTGCGGAATCGATTATACTCACTCAAAACAGTATTACCTGAATCGTACATGTACATGACGTAGTGTTCTATTCATTAACGTACAGTTACAGATAAAACCTCTTTTTTTGCCCCTGTGTGCAAGCTGGGACTTGGCATTACGCACTTGCAGGTTTTCATGTGTAGGATCGAGGAGATACATACGCGAACTATGCACTTTCCACTTCGTGGCCGCACCTGCACGATTTAAGGATACATGCTTTTTCTGCAAGTCAATAGTACATGCGTAAACGTTGCATTTGGTTTTTATGGTTCTTTTGTACTTTTTTACACTTTGTGGCTGCACAACATTTGAAAACAAACATGTCAGGTTCTATAGTAATTTCTAGTGTTTGACTTTACCTATTAAACTTTAATAAAAACAAACACAGTTTAATCTACTGCAGCAGGTAAACTACCGAACCGAACCAAAAATCATCAAACAAGGCATTTTCGAACCGAACCAACCCAAACTGCGCGGTTCGGATGTTCGGCTTTAATATGGAATTTCATTGAGGCACGTGGGAATACAGACAAGAAAACTTAATAAAAAACAAACATAACGGAAAATGGATAACAAGTTGTACTGCATGCTCCACACGTGCGTGAACATTCTAAAAGTACAATGGCCGCACATCATGAGATGGTTGTAAAAAGCATCTGGTGAGAATCACTCAAAAATCAACCTAGAACATGCAACGTACTGTACTTGTCGCTGCATAACAACTTTAAATTCTCATGACAATTGTGCTCATGTATATTCAGATTTAGTATTATATTTGCCTATCTCCGGTAGTCGCGCTCTTACATTCCATTTTAGGCTAATGATGTCGTAAATGGCCATGCCAAATGAATTTTGATTGGATGCTGATCAAAGTCTGACTTCTGCTTGATCGAAGGCATCTCCGGAGGGAAATTTTGCCCAGCGGTTCAGTGCATGCAGCGCTTCAACCCAGTGCAAGAGAAGAGTTTTGTTCGCGCGGTGGCCTAACTTGCTTTCATTTGATCATGAAGGGTCTGATAGTAGTTGGAATGCGTTGTAATGGAACTTTTGTAAATAAAAGAATGCTGTTATCCCTCCGAAAGAGGCTGATGGAAAATTGCCCCTTTGGTCACATGGGCGCCCTCCTCGGAAAGGTTCCTCCTCAGATATGCAACAAAAGCCATATTTCATAGTTGAATCTAATTTGCAAAAATAATCAAAACACAATTTGCTCGAGATCTAATTTAATCTTGTATCCTGTACTGAATGAGGAAAGTCCTAATGGAGCATGTTTTTTTTTTCTATTTGCACATATCTTACGATCATTTTGTTGAGTCAAGTTAGGTCCGAACACAACCACTTCTGGCCGGCAAAACACGGCCAGAAACTGTCACACCTCCGGCAGTAACTTTATATAGAATTAACTCGTAAACAAACTCTGGGAAAACAGTTTTGAAAATATATATTCAAATCAAAGTTGTTCGTGGATGGGGAGAGATAGAAGATTCATTACTTGTATGAATATATATTTTATACACAGAAATACTTTATAGGCCTATGCGGCACATTCGAAGCGTGATCTTCGATGTCTCAGTGTGTGTTGTATTGTACATACCCAAACTCTAACCAAACCGGAGTTCGGCAACAAATTTCCGTACCGTGTCTAACCCGAACTGAACCTTGACACCTACTTGCAGCACTACATGCATTTGATATGGAGTTTAACTTTTTCTATTACTTTCAAAATATATTGGTAAACCTGACTGAAGTTCAAAATGAATTTGTATTGTGTCTTTGTGGATACTTCTCTTCAGAGACGATAGATCAGGTAGTAAAATAGGTAACTGTGTTTGGCAATTCCTGTCGTTCCCATATAAACTTCTTCATTCCCAGTCTAAAAACACTAAAGACGAACATTAGTCTTGTGGTGCTGTCTTTTTGTCATGAATTACCCACTCAATGTCTGTAGCCTAGAATGCAGAAGATTTTGCATCTCATCTCAATTCTTACGGCCAGCCAAGGAGGGCTGACTCGGGCCCACTGAAGATCTTCTTGAATAGGATATATTGTTCACAACTAGGGCTGTGTAAGCCACGAACTCCATTGTTGTCAAGATTGCCCGTGCAGCTAGACAGTCCAGGGCAGACTGTTCTTTTTAAACCGTTGAACCGTCCCACACCAACTGACAAACAGAATGAAGGGGGATTAACAGCAACCGTTGAACTGTTTCTAAACCGTCTGTATTTTGACCTCATGCTTAAACCTGATGAAGTGTCAACTTAGTAAATACCATCTATTCCGAGAAAAAACAATATCCTAGGATTTGGATTCCTAGATAAAAAGTTGCTGAGTCATGTTTTGAATTGCACCTGAATTTTAGCATCTGGGACACATTTTCACATTCACTTGAATACAGCTATGAAATGTCACACACTGAACTGACAAATTATAATAAAACTAGCACAGGCTTGTGTCACGCCAAGGTTGATGCATTTTTAATGACAATTTTCCAAAAATTCATCTTCAGATGCCTTTTTTTTTTGGTCAAAATGACAGCTCACCGTAAAGAATAATTTCACATGGAGTTTAATTCCATAGCCATCTTTCAACCAAGTATGTTTTTCAACAGTAATTTCATA